AAAAAAAAAAAAAAAAAAAAAGAAGGGGTACTATAGGCAAAGTGTCCAGATCTTCAGGGAAAAACAAAGATAGAGAAAGAGAAAGTAGCATTTTGTTGTCTTTCGAGAGTATGGAAGAGCTTAAGAAACTGCCATCAAATCTTAACACTAGCAAGAAACACTAGTGTTAGCTTTCTACCTTATAATGGCATTTTTTTTTAAGAATTCTTTGAATACAGAGAAAAATATTTCATTAGCTTATACAAAGCCTGCAGGTTATGGAACATAAATACTACATAGTATAGCTCCCTCTTTCTTTGGTTGAATTGTGTAGGAATTTCACTAACACTAGCTGTCCATTAGTCAGCACTGAACTTTCCAAGTAAGAGACACAAGACATAAATAAAAATGAGAGGAAATGAACTCTGGAGTTCAAACAGAGTACATCCTCTGTTCTCTAGTCAGGCAAAGTTTATGATTTAATATGCTATGCCTTTGTTCCCTCAAGTGCCAGAGTTAGAAAACTTAAGAAAACCTTTCAGCTTATTTGAGAACAAGCTATCAGAAAGTCTTTGGTCATATCTATGTGATGAAAGGAATATGAGTTCTGGGACTCTTTTTTTCTACAGTCTTTATCCCATTTATTTTTCACTTAGCTTAAATTAAATTGAGACTGAAAGGTACCAATTTGACTGTTGGAAGAGCCTCCAGCACTGAGACACCAGTAGGAGCTGATGAATAAAGCACTTATCATAGGGATTTTTTTTTTTTTTTAAGCAGAGATCTTATCTGGCAAAGAGTATGCTTGGTTATAATAGCAGCCCTTAGTTGCCCATTCAGCAGCCCTGAATGTTTACATGCGGAAAAGCTTGAGTTCCATGAGCCTAGGTTGGGACGGCAGCATTGCTGGAGCAGTCCCACAGATGTGGGACATGCAGTTTGAATCCCCTTCTGCCTTACCTGACCTAAACCCCAAACCACTGGCCATGCCAAAGAAATGCCTTAGAGGCAGATGTTGTCTCTGGCTGATGATGTCCTACCGAACACCAGGCAGAGCGGGACTCATCACCAAGGCAGGCGCAGCCCTTCAAACCTGGGATCGTTCACACGGACATGCAAGGGACTTCTGGATACGATGCTTTTCTGCCACTAAAGATTTTGCAAGTCAGTTCTAGCACTGAATCCATGGATCTTTTTTTTTTTTATCTAACAGAGATCACAAATACTTACTGGATGCATGTTCAATTGCATGTGCAATGAATTAATTGAAGGTTTTAATGGACTTATTGTCATCAAAAGTAGAAGACACACAGAATCCAGTTTCAAACTGTGCAACTGTCCACAGTTTCAAACTGTGCAACAGTCTACAATGCAGAGAAGAGCCTCTGAGATCTATGCAACCAGAAGAAACAAAAAACAGCTCTAAAGCTTGATCATTTTACAATATTGCGACAGCTCAGCATATCTGAGAGTGAAGGACATTCTGTCTGGGTCCGTGTACTAATAGAAATAATAACTTTATTTCCTCAATTAATATCACCTTTATTTAGCAATAGACAGTGTATTTAAGTAAGTGCCAGATACCATAAAATATCACTTTAAATATCAAGCTCATCTACTCATAGACAGTTAATTAGTTATGCTCTTAAAAGTACTAACCCAGTTCTTCTTTTACAAAAAAAAAACTCTTTACAAACAGAAATATTTCTAATATTTGGCTAGGAATGTCTTAGCTAATTTTTCAATATTCATGAAAGTTGGCTTGAAACACTTGTACATCTGAGCTGAAAGCCAGGAAAAATAGTATTTGGAATATGTTTTTAAATAAAAAACAAAACATACTCTGATATGGTAGATCTTTCAGACATGTGAATTATCAAACTCTTTTGGAAATTTATTCTGCATGTAAAAACCATGCTTCTTGCAGTGAGTGTATCTGTGCATAATATTTTAATTCCCACCATTTCCTTTTTCCTTTATTTGAATGTTATTGGAGTAGCCATTTCTTTTTTCTACATGTGGTATTCACCATATTTTTTATTCGTTAAATTACTCGCTTCCAGTTGTTCCAGTCATCTTTTATACTCCAGTCCATTTATCACAAAAAAGGTCTTCTTTATTTCTTCAACATCTTTGCAGATTTACATTGTTTCTTAGTTCTTTCTTGCAACACAATGGCTTCTTTTCCTTGAGACTCACATTTTATTGAAGCAATAACTAACTCTCGAATGTTTAAGTATTTCTTGAAGATTAGGATCTAGATGATGCTATAGATTATTATGGAAGTATAAGATTATTAGCTTCATCTGACTATTAAACCCTACCTCAAAATTGTATAGCAAGATAATTACTTCAATGCATTTTTAATAATAGAAAATTCTCCTTGTCCCTATTGTTTTTGGGAGTGAAGGTCATTGTGTTCAGTGTAAAAATTGACTTTTAGAGAAAAGCAATTCAAAATAGTCATTGAACAAGCATAATATGAATCACAGTAGGCAGTTAAAAATTACATTATCTCTGAGACTTATATAGCAACTGATACTGAAAATCCTAGGTTTTTCACTGCCTAGGTGTATATTTTGACTGACAAATTTATGAGATGCATGATATGAAAGAAAAAGTCTTGGAGGGGTTAATTGAATTAATCTTAACTTATCTGAGGAAGAAAGATCACCCATATGGAATCTGTCCCTTGGACATCTGCCACAACACTGCTGTTTCCGAGCATGCATCTCAGTAGCATCAATGGTACAGAGTGGCCCACATAAATTCAAAACAATCTAAAATGACAAGAGCAAGCCCAGGGACAGAAAAAAGGCTTACTAGTCATGTGAACACCTCAAGAGTCTGCAAGCTCAAAGGGCAGACAAAACCTGGTCGCTTCATTTGCAATTTTGTTTAGTTTTAACTATCTTGCAGCTGATATGCAAAGAGTTCTTAGAAACTGCAGCCCAAATAATACACTTTTTCAATAAAGTCCATGTTCTGAAAAGTTCAGACCATTTTAAGATCAGTTCAGACAATACCTTGAGTATTTACATAGCAATAGTATAGATAAATAATAATACTACAGGAGTCTGTTTTCAAAAATCTTACTCGTAAGGTATTATGCATCCCATATATTACATAGAAATATATGGCCTTTGAGCTTCCCATAAAATTCAGACAAGTGGAAAACTTCAGTCATAATAGTCATAATGTAATTTAGAGCTTTTTCATGTTACTTCCTCAGTCTGAAACTCATTTTGCAAGTTGAGCCTCCTATTCATATTTAACCAAGA